GTATAGTATAGTTGGTTAAAGGTGTATAGTATATAGTATACTACAATAAGTATAATACTAAATTTATACATTATACACTTTGTAATAAAACTAATAAAAAAATTATACGTTCAGTATAAAGTAGAATAACAAATTTATACATTTAGTATAATATATATCTAAAAAAAAAATTGGTTGTATTGTGTATTTAGTTGAATTGGCCTTTAATATCCAAAGAAGGTACGTGTATATGAACTTGATGTCTCATGTGACCTTTAGAACATGTGTCAGAATAGATAATCATAAGTTGGAACTGGTAATTCGGAAGTGTAAGTGTGATAATTGATCATAATATACACAGTATTGTCGTATCCAAAGTTACCATCTATCTGAAGCTGCAACTTTAGATATATAAAGTTGACCTGATTAAAATTAAGCCCATGAAATTAGATCTTCATACATATAAAGTTGCAACTTCAGATAGATAGTAACTTTAGATATGACATTTTGTTATCATGAATAAATACCTAAAATTTAGTAAATTGCATTATTTAAGTAAAGTAAAAATATTTTAATTGAATATCTGCATAACTTAAAGTTCAAATGCGAGGCTCTATAAACTAAGCTAGTTAATACCTTTTTCTAATTAACCCAAATACTAGTTTGAACTAACTCAATCAAATTTCAATTATTCATTAATACAAATAAAGTGTTTCCAAATTGGTAAATAACTACAGTCCCTTGTATTGCCTCATTCTCTCATTAATTAATTACCTCATTATATTAAAATCATTAATAAATTAAATTGATTTGAGCTATGATCTGATCAATTCTGAATAATCGCATAATCGATATGATAGATCTCTGATTAGAAGTGCCAATATAAAATCAATATTACAGCTGTTTTCATAAATTCTGGGACATCCTAAAAAATTTATCGAAGTCTATTTGGCTGAATTCGATAAGCTATTTATTTCGGTGCTACACATATATAAATTCATAATACATATATGTTTGTTATTATGATTTTTCAAAACATGTTCATTGGAAAATAATTAAAAGAACTTAGAAGGCTTCAATTAGAGTAATTGCTAAACATTTGGGTGTTAACAGGTCTTCTGTGGGTCGAGTTCTCAAGCAATTTCAAAGGGTTGGCTGTGTTGATGAATTACCATCATTTTAAATAAACATTATATACTTTGAACTTTATTATAATTATTAAGACTTTGTCAGCAAATATTAATAAATTCTTGTCCTCTGATTTCAATTTGTGTTGTATTTTTTTACAGCCCCTGATTGTATTTAACCTTTTATTTATTTTTTTTTAGTGCCTACTCGAAGTGTTACATATTAAAAAAGATAAATTTTTGATTTTTTTTTTTTATGATTTTGTATAGATACAGTATATTTCAATAAACAAATTTGCTATACTATAAGTTACCAAAGATAATTATATAATAAAAAGATTTATCAAAATGAACTTGAAGTAAAACTTTTGTTTTTATTTATAGATCATTTAAATTCAAAACTGTTTATATGTTTATTAAGAAAGTCCAACTTATGTTTAAAATTTTTTTAGTGAAGATCTATTAATTGGTAAGATCAGTTTTTTTTTTGGTATAAATTTTTGTATCATACAAGACAAAAAAAATTTTAATAAAGTGTTGAAAGAGTTGATGTTGCTATAATAGTAAGTCAATAAATTTTTTATATATTGATCACGCACTAATCATACTGAAATCACTTAAAAAATTTGGCTGAATAAACTTCGACAAATGTTTTTAGAGTGTCCCAGAATTTATGAAAACAGCTGTAAATTAGTTCAAAAAATTAGGTTCAAAGTTTTATGATCGATAGATGAATTTGCTTATAATTACTAAATAGTATAAAAATAAATTTTAATTATACTTAATATACAATACTATGTATTAAAACTATACATTATGTAAATAAATTTAAAAAAAAAATACTACATACCGTATAATTTAAACTTAAAAAACTATACATACTGTATATCTACTATACATAATGTATACCACACTATACCATACTTATCTGATAAGTTATACTATACTGGTTTACTATATACTCAATCAGTATTATATATATACAGTATATATAAAGCAGAAAATTGATTTTTTTTGATGCTTAGAAATTTCCAAATCACAATATAAAAATATATAATATAACCTATATGCTGTAGTATATATTTAAGTAGGTTAGGTCATTACCCATTCGTGAACTGGTAATCATTAATAAACACTAGAAGAAATAACGTATTGTCGCGAAATAACACACAGGGGTGTAATTTCAAATTTTGGCCTAAATTAAGCTTAATTTGGGTCATTATTCTAAATAACGCCCATGTGCGTTATTTCGTGCAATACTTCAGTTTCTGGGTAGTTTTGTATAGCTTTAAATAGGGCAACAAAACCAATCACATAAGTAATACAGTAAATAAATTTTTTTTGAACTATAATTATTCATTACACTGTTCTCCTATCACTGTGTATCTTACATGGGATAGTTAGGTTGGTTTAGGTTCAGTTTTTGGTTTGGAACCTTTAGGTTCTATTTTAAAAACCCAAGAACTTGGTTTTTAAAAAGTTTCAAACCCTGGTTCCAAAACCTAGTTTCCAAACCTGATTCCTTTAAAATATAATCAGAAATATAAAATTAAGTTATATTTTTGTATTGATATAATAAGTTATTAATTGGCTCTTTAGTAGTCATTTTTTATTTATTATGCTATTATATTTATTATATTAAATGATTTCAAAAACAAACCTAAAAACCTAACCTAAAAACCTATCATGAATCTAAAAACCTATCATGAATCTAAAAAGCTAGGTTTCAAAATTGGAACCTGGTTTTTAAAAATTAGGTTCCAAAAACTAGGTCTTAGGTTCTGAACCTAGAACCTTTACCAACCCTAACCTTACAATGAACTGTAATATAGATAGTGGTGTAGTTGCATTGAGGTAATTAATTACAACTGAAAGTTGTGAAGTAGCAACTTTTTTGTAGTATTGATGTAGGCAGTAACTCCGGTTGTAGATCGTAATTATTGTAGTATGTAGTATTTTATGTGTTGGAGTTATCAATCAAATAAACTATGTGTATGTAATTGACTTATGACATATGTAAATACCATAGCGATAGTATAGTTTCTTTTTTTATATTTCTTTCAAAACCATGGATCACGAAATTGTTAACTTGTCTGAATATAATGCTGAAAATGACATACTTATTGAAAACAGTACTGGTATATTAAATGATTCCAGAATTATGAAATATTCACCTGAAGGACTGGTGGGTGAATTTTTAGCTAATGAATCAGTCTTGGTTCAAAATAGCAATAGTATTTAATGAATTTATTGAAAATGTAATAAATATATATAATAAATAAATAAATTTGAAAAACTATTTAGCTAATAATTTTCACAATAATTTTGTAAAATTTGGCTAGGACTTTCTTTGTTTTGAATATCTTAACCGATACATATAAATATTATGGTATACTTTATAGCATGCAATATCTATTATGAAATGTGACCATATTACGACATATGGTATACAATACCTTAAACGGTATTACATTATATGTGCTGTAATAATATGATGGCATAATTACTGGGGTTGTACATCAACTAAGTAAATCAAATTTATATTAGGTCCCCTTAACATTTAGCTATTAAAATATTTAAATCAAAAAATTGATGATATCACTGATCAAACATATATTGCATAAATTAAATATGAAAATAATTTGAATTTCTTTTAGATATACAGGTTGAATTTCTTCCCCTTTTAAAATTTTCTAACAACAGATCATTTCTTTCACATTACGGTTACAAAGTTACGAGGCCTTATTTTATATAAGTTTAATAAACGTTAGTTTCAAATCTATTATTTAAACATACTCCAGGTTTTCAGTATTAAAATCTTATATTTAAACCAAATTGTAGATTTTTTTTATATTTAAATATAAAAAATGACTTCGTAACTTTTTTTATAGAGACTTAATATTAATTTTTGCAAAATATTGCTTTTAATTACAGTAAAATTAGAGCTGGGCATCTATTTTTGTTTTATATGTAGCAATGGGTATCTACAAATTATACAAGCATTGATTTCAGCTGAAAAATTGTAACAAAATTCGATTAGAAAAGCAAAGAAATAAACAGCATAACAAGATAATTAATGAAATACATTAATACTTAGCTACCATAGATTTTGATCAACTTCAACATGTTTTAAATACGATACAAAACAATTCTACTGCAAGTGAAGATAATCAACAATTGGAACAGAATTCAATTGCAAGTGAAGATAATCAACAATAGGAACAGAATTCAATTGCAAGTAAAGATAATCTCAAACATTCTAAATTGATGTTGCTAATTAAGAAATTATCTGAAGAAGAAATTTTATCAGTTGTTCACCTAATTTCAACAATGTATTATCAAACTGGATCTAATAAAAGCAAAATTTATTCACTATACTTGCAAAAAAAGGCTCACGAATTTATATCTCAATCGTTTCATAAGCATCAACCTACATATCAATCATTACAAGAGACTAATACAAGGTTAAGAAGTGATCTTAAAAATTAAATAAACAAAATCAGGTCTTGATTAAAAAAAACCCAATTATTTGGAGCTTAAATTATACACCTTCGTAATCAAAAATCGAATCATATATTTACAATTCGTTCACTCTCTCGTCAATCTTGTCAGATTACCGATCAAGTGTTTTAAAAAAAAATTAAGTCTATTTTTCAAGATAACAAGTGAAAATATTCATCCAATACGATTTGGCTAGCAACTAGTATTTCACAAATTGGTCAAATCTCTTTAAATTCAACAGTAGAGTGTATAAAGCTAATTTATGAATTTCTAACAGGAGAGCCACCAAAAGATTGGTTAGCAAGGCAAACATTATATACAGTATAACCTCGATATAATGAACCTCAATAAACCAAATTTGGCATTATAACGAAGATTTTTTCCAGCTAAAATTTTTTATTAATAAATTAACCTCGATATAATTAATTTAATTATAAAACCTTGTTATAACGTATAACAAAATAATTTATTTTTTGTTCATAACAAAATTACCTTGTTATAATGAATACCTTTATATAACGAATTATTAAATGAGATAACGAAGCATTTGTGTAACATCATTAATCAGTATCTCTTAAACCGTCTAGCAGACAAATTTGCCTGCTAAAATTATTTTTAAAAAGTTTTTTTAAGTTTTTTTAAAATTTATTTAAGCTTGACCCCCTATTTATTGAATAGAATTAAAGATATTCCTTTTATATATAATATACTTAAATTTTATTATTCTATCTTTAATTTTGATAAAGATATTACATTTTTAATAAA